AACCTAGTGATTCTGTGATTCTGTGAAAGATGTCTTTTAAGATGGACTATGTATATATTAGTCAACTAACAAATACTTGTTTTCTCTTGTGCAAAATGAAACCAAAATAATACAGCTGGAAGCTTTTTTTTTTAATGCAACAGAACTGGGAGCCTTTGAAAAATGAACACCTATAGCTCTTCTTGTAAAAGCTGAAAAAGATACTTAACAGAGTACATGATATACTTTACAACTTGAATGACCTCCAACTAGCTGTATTCTTCTCTGGTTCTCTATGTACCTGGAGATACCTTTTTAATTTCACATAAAATGTTTATTTATAGATGTAGTGTATTTAATAAACTGCTTTGAAGTTGCAGAAAATTTAGATTTTAGCTTAAATTAAAATTAAAAAAACAATACTTTAGAAGGCAGTAATGTAAACTAATTTTCTGTTTGCATGGAAACTACTAACAATTTCTAGATATTATCATGATCCCTTCCAACCTCAATGAGTCTGTGAAAGGGGATGAGAATTTATAGCTGTCATTATGTATGGTAGAAGTTACTTCCATAGATTTGGAAAAAAAGTAGAAGCGTATCATAGGTATAGTTGAGGATTTGTTTGGTTTTTCTTTAGCAGGTTCTCTCAAAATTATTTCAGAAGTTTAAAAATGGCTGTATTCAGAAATTTGCACCAAACATTTCCTCTCACTTCTACACTAGTGCTCTCAGCACAAAGCATTAAAGGGAAGGTGATGCCGAAGAGTTGCCCATCAGGCCAACTATAAGGAATTTGAGGACTTGGAGGTAAACTGTTTAGAATTTTGGTGTTTTTTCTAAAGGAAAAATCACCATTTTTGCTACTTATCGCTTAGGAAATTTAAAATGTTGACCCTGTTTTTGGTGACCGTACAGGTAGAAAAAATTCTGTCCCCCTGCTGACTGTTGTTGGGGAAACAAATGGAAATTGATAAAGGTGTCATTGTTGGCTTTTTTTTTTGTTAAAGATATGAATAAAATTAAAGTTAGATATTGAAATTTTTGAGAGACTGTTTTGTTTAAGTTTGTGTATTTGTCATCTTAACATGATTTGAAGTGGCTTAAAACTTAACTACAGATGTTTTGGGGTCTAGTTCTACTTTTAACTTAAATCAGCCTTCACATGGTACATAAAATTATCACATGCTATAATTAGCTGTAAATGTTCAACAGTCCTATCTGTGAAAATACAAAGATGATGGCATGCGTTAATATTATCTAAAGAAATATTTTTGGGACAAGTGTTATTTTGTGAAACCTAAATTGATGGTGGAATGAGGAGTCTCATTTTGTGCTGCATTCATTAATGTCTTTCCAATATCCTTAAGAAGAATAATAATCTTAAAAATATCTGTAACCATTTATGCATACTTTGTAATCAAGTCTTTCGAAGAAAAGCACCGTGGATGAATCTTGAGAATCTTGGCACTTAATTATCCTAGTTGTTTTTAAAAATGTTCATACAGCATTCAACTATTGGTCCAGTACAATCTGTTCTCGAAGGAGATGTAAGAAAGACTAGAAGCACTAAGAACAGCACATCACAGAATGAGATTTATGAAGTTCTGCTGTCTGAGCCTTTCATAGGGACAAGCATCCTGCCTTCCCAGATAGTAAAAAGTGGTACTTCAAGCTGCTTGTGCATCCCCATAAAAGCCATGGACACTGCCTTTCATGTCAAACCCCATTAGAAACAATCTGTCACGAAAGAATGAGTGTAGGTTTGGCATAAAAATCATTTAATCGTGGCCACTTCTTAACAGAGCTATCATTCTCAGCACATGAGTTTGGATTCGTTATTATTTGGATTTGTTATTTACAAGGAACAGATTTAATTTGCTTTCATAAAAATACTATTTTCGTTTCAGTCCAGTCAGTTTTTAATTACTGCTAAGCTTTTTCCAGCCTGGTGGAAAATGTGGCAATTGTGAGCTACCTTTAGATAAAATGTCTTGTTCTCTCTTGCCTGATTTCTGCACCGTCTGTGAGACTTTCTTTTTACATCCCTGAAAATACGCTTTGCTCTGTGGCATCCCTTGCTTGCATCCATTGTTTTGTAACGATTTAACTGGTTGTTGATAATCAGCAGCTCTAAATTACCTTAAGGATGATCTCAAAGAAGCCATTGGGTATCATAAGTAGATGGCTGCCCTGCCAAGCCAGGTGTTTGCTGCCAAAACCATGGCGTGAGCTCTAGTAACTCTGCAGAAAGGTTACACATCAGTTCAGCTGTCCAGGCAAAGTGCATTTCTCAATTCAGGTTGGAAGCTGCCGTGTAACATAGAGGTTGTGGTTTGACCCAGGTGTATACCATTCCTGCACAAGCAAGTCTGATTTGCATTTAAACTTGTGATTGACTACTTTAATGTCATATGTTTTGGATGACTTTATGACCTTAGATTAAAGGTAGTCTTGTCTTGTGCACTTTGACAAGCAGAAGCTGTCAAAGTATGTGCAGTAATGGCATTCATTTTATGGTGGGGGCAGTTGGGTGTTGTTAAATGCTGTACTGTCATCAAATCCACTCTCGGGGAATACAAATTCCTGTGTTGTTTTCAGGAAGCCAAAATATATTCTCCAACTTGTAGAATATTTTTCTACTGCAATATGGATGATGAGTTAATGCTTTAAGAAAGAGAAGAATTTCTACTCTGACTTATGCTTTGTGGTCTCAAACCTCTAGGTGACTTTCCTGCAATAGTCAAGTTTGTCAGAGAATTTTAGGACTCTTTTATTAACTTGGTTTGCAGTGGGGGTTTTTAATTTAAAAAAAATCCTGTGAATTTCCTTAGCAGCAGCCATAAAAATTACAGGGGAGGTGGGAGATAGGTAAGGTGGAAAGTAAATTTTGTGCTATTTAGTTGGGAGATTAGTCTTTCCATTACTTTTTTTTTTTAAAGCTAGAAGTTACATCTTTGTTACTTATCAGCATGTCTAGCCAGATAGTTCCATTAATGTGTTATTTTTCTCTTTGCATTGCATATAATCTCCACAGTATTTATTAATATACTGGATTAAAAAAAAAAAGTCCTGCCATATAATTTGATAGCTGATGACATTTAAAGGTCCTTTCCAACACAAAGATTCTATGATTCTGTGATTATATTTATAGCTTCATGTAACTGATGAAGAAACAGGCCATTTGAAGGGAGAGGGGAAGGTGATAGCAGAGATGGTGGAGTGATCTTTTGTGTACATTTAACGTGCTCTAGCAGCAGCTTATAAATTTGCAGCAAGGTTGTGATGTAAAGGAAGGAGAAAACACACTGAAGACACGCTGGGTTTTTTGGTCAGATTTGTTTTTCATATTTCTTATGTAACCTGTTTTAAAATTAATTTAAACTTGCTTTTTAACAAAATACATGGCCATTGGCACTTAAATAAACATTCAGCAATTTTTGGCCTCGGTACCCTTTTGGTCAGGTGCAGGTTACAGCATGTCTGCCTTCTCACCCAGGTGTAAGTAAATCTGCTTTATCCACATCTCTAGTTGCCTTGATAGTGTGGTAAGCTGGGTCACACAGCCCCAGCAGAGTGGCCGTATTCCTTCTGACGATCTAATGAATCTGTTGAAAGATGCCTCTATGCCCCTGTTGCAGTGTCCCAAATGTGTCCAGACCAAATTTGTGTATTTGTGTATGTATGCACACAGATATTTGTATTCATACTTATTTTTATATGTTTATATGCAGAATATACCTATAACAGTCAAGGTAATCAAAGGTTGATTGTTTCTCAGAAAAGGTTTTAAAGCATAGGAATAAATAAAATGATAGGCATCATAAATTACAGGTGCTTTCTGTAAGACATGTTTGAAATTGCCTTTAGTTCTTTCATATGCCACATACAAGTTCAGAAAAAGATTTAAGTTGCTTAAATTCCTCTTGGATCTCTGAAAGATTCTAACTTACTTTTCTGTTTCACGGTAAAATATATATAGAGCGACCTGAACATTGCCAGTTCCAGACTTGCAGCAGCTCTTGAGCTGCAGGGGAATTCTGAATTGAGTTTTCTAAACAGGGTTTTGGGAAGTCTTATTTATGAATGGATGGTTGTCTAACAAAGTTAAATAGCAGTATGTGGAAATCTGTCTGCTTTGCTTTTTCATTCTTTGCAGACACGACGAAAAGTATTAAATGACTATTTCTTTTTTCTTTTGCTTTGTTCTGGTTAAGACTTTTCCCTTGACTATCTTATAATAATTTTAATTATGTAGAGTGTATGCCTTTTAATACTTCACCTATAATTCCTTTAATATTTTAATTTCTAAAAGTCAAATAGATGTTTGCTTAGACACACCTTTTAACCTTTAGGTGTACTTACAAAAGCCATGCCTTTTGATATTTTTACAGCTATTCTTACTGCCTTCTAACATAAAATAATATGCTGTAGGTATAATTAGCTTCAATTATACCTACAGTTTTTTCTTGCATGTAATAGACTGCTACCTTTATGTTCATATCTCAGGATGAAAATCTCATAAATAATGTATTGTGTTGTAAAAGATTAATGTTTAATGATAAACTATATTTAGTGATATGCTTACAAAGACCTAAACATGTTATATGCACATATACATATAAAATAAATTAAAACAAGTTGGTTTTCATGCTGCCTTTTTTTTTTTTAAACTTAAGTGGTGGAATTTTTTACTATAATAATTGCGTAGATACATTGTGCTGTTGTTCCCTGAGACAATGTTAGATGGAAGTATTTCCTTTTTTTGGTGTTCGGCTGTGATAGCCTAAATATGGGAAGAAAATGTCTGCTGGGCTATTTGACTGCAGTAAGAGTAAAAAGACTACCTGGTTAATTATGCTGAACATTTTAAGATGCCTCTTTCATTTGCTTGGTTGACTGAAAACAAGGTTTTCTGTAGTGTGTAGTACAAGAATACATTGTAAAAGTGTAAGAAGAAAAAAATTTTAAAATGCTGTTGTCTGTTTCATTCTCCCCAAGAAAGGGAGTTCCGTGCTCCATCTTTGGGATCTTTGGAAAATTGCATGAAGCTTTCCCAGATGACTGTCCAGGGACTTCAACAGTTCAAGTCTCCCCTTTTGCAGCTGCCTCACATTGAAGAGGACAATCTTAGGCGAGTCTCCAATCATAAAAAGGTATAAAACTACAAATGATACTTGGTAACTTCTTAAAACACTTTCTGCTACTTCTTTTACCTACTTGCCTATAAGGAAGTAAGGTCACGAATTAACTAAGAGAATTAAAATATGTGGTTTTTTTCAGGATTTCAGTACAATACTTCCTAAATGATCTGTGTGTTTTTTGTTTCTTTAAAATCCATCTCAGTTAGGAGGTGGGAAATAAGATCAGATCTGATAAAGTGTAAAAGAGTGTAAAAGATGAGTCTACGTTGACCTCGCAAACAGAAGAAACTTTTTTCTTATTACAGAGTAATATCTCCTATTTAATATCTTTCCAGCATGTGTCTGGAATATCTTACTGGGACTTAACTTTTTTTTTTTTGAGGGGGTTTACATCATTCTTAATCTCGTTTGATAGAAAATGTATTTGGAAGGTAACACAGATGAGTTCCTAAAAGGAAAAAAATTATCAGTTACTGTGGGACCTTTTTTCAGGTTTTGTGACCCTTTATGTATGAAAGAGGATGCTTTATAAAGCTCTTACTATGTAGGTGTAGTTGGGTAAGTGTTGGTATTTTTGGAATTTAAGAACAAAAAAGAATAGGCTTATCTGAATACCTGCATACGTTTCTTCACTCTGTTTCACTGACTCTCTGTATTCAAACCTGCTTGTTTGAATTGTACTATATTATTATATATATAATAATATAATATAGTAATATAATATATTACTATACTATTCAAACCTTGTTTGTTTGACTGTACTATATCTTCTAGGAATGCCTGGTTAGAAACAAGCAGTTATCTTCTAGTAGAACCTATTGACTTTTTGATAGTCTTATTATAATGGTGATTTGGATCAATCTTAAAAATATTCTTTTTATGTAATGGAAATTTTGTTTATCTTTAACTATAGCCTTAGGTGGCATTTAAATGCTTCTGTGTTACCATGAAGATAAGAATTCTTAAGTACTGTATTTTTTTAATCACCTTTGAACATGCTTGTTCATCAAATAATCAAGTAGTCTTTTCCTTTGGATAAAGTAAAAGAATCATTCTCTTACAGGTATCATCAAACACTTACTTTTCTTAATCCAGGCCTAAACTACAGGGAGCATACAAAAAAGTTTGCAATTTTAGATGTATTTTTTGACATGTGCAGTGTAACTAAGTAAAAAAATCAAGAATTTGGCTATCCCATAATCCCACTTGTCCTTCCCCTGAAAGAGGGAAGAGACCAATTTGCTAGGCTTGTTTGTACAGGATTCCCATGCGTTGAGCTCTTCAAAAATACAGTCCCTTAGATTGGAGATGAGATCAGTCTACCTGGGTGCCTGAAGTTGTTTTTAATAAAATACGTAGATTTATAATGGTGAGGTAATCAAGTGTTCAGACAAATCTGTGTTTGTTTTATCCTTTTTGCTCTGCAAATCTTAAAAGGAATGGTTTTAGACTTGTTTGCAGTTCAGTATAAAAAAAAAAAAGTAACTTGTACTTAGTTGTTCCTGCTAATATAAATCTCAAAGCATTGAAGTACTCTAAATAAAGAACTGATTAGTATGATTTCTTGGCTCAGCTTTCTGAAAAAGCTGGCTGAAATAATAGTTTTATAAGTAATGTATCCAGTTTCTAAGGGGTGACATGCTAAGGAATGCACCAATGTTCAAAGCAGTGCTGTTTAGTAGGTTTGTTTGAATTCAACCTCTTAGTTTTATTGTTTCTCAAAACATATGCTTGCTAATTTCCTAAAATATGGTGTTTTTATAAGATCAAATCAAATGGTGTGTATGTATCAGTAACATGGGGACACAAATGGTATATTCTCAAGAGTTTTCGTGGACTATCTTCTCTGCTACCATGTGACTTCCTTTCTTTTTTTTTTTTGTTTTAATTCAGTATAAAATCAAAAGTATTCAGGATTTGGTGAGTTTGAAAGGTTCTGATCGTCGCAATTTACTGCACTTCCTAGAAGATAAGAAATACGATGAAGTTATGGCTGTCCTTGGCAGCTTTCCGTATGTCACTATGGATATAAAACCACAGGGTGAGTGGGAGGTCCTTTTGTTCTGTATGTGTTGCTCTTCTGACATTTTGATAGTCTGTTGGCAGTAAGCTTTTGGAGGATGCTGAAACACAACTCTCTCTTATTTATGTGGCCTGGAAATGACATACTTTTTTGAGTGGCGGCCTCTTGTACATGAGATTTATAGCGTGAGGAGACAAAGTACATTGAAACATTTCACAGATTCCCAAGCCAGCAGTAGTTTCTCCTACAGGAGCTTGTCTGGTATTTCATCTGTTGATTTAATTTTTCATGAGCAATGTGAATTCTGGTTGAAATACCACTTTTATTAGCTATCTTAAAAAGTTGGTGCTTATTCCAGAATTTATGTTCAACTTACTGCAGCGTGGAGAGTCCTCTGTGAGATTTTGAGTTGGAGACCCTGATGACTAAATATTCATGTGGTCCTTTGTGATAATCCTTGTACAGTTTTTATATCTGACAGTTTGTCCATGCTAGGCTTAGCTACCTTTTGTGTGTACTGTTTTAATGAATGTATAATGCTCTTCCCCTCTGAAGATTAGGTATATTGTTAAGCAGTTCCTGTTAGGCAGCCTTTCAGTGGAAAGTGAATTGGTTCTGCAGTCTCCTTTCCTTCATAGAAGATCAGTGCTAGTAAATGTGAGATATTTGAAAGATTGTTCTAACACTTGTTTCTAATTTATATCGTTACTGTGGTTGCAATGATCAAATTTAAAATGTGATGTGTTTTGTTTGGGTAGCCGAATTTGTAATCTGGCATATGCATAGTCCTCTGTGAGAAGCAAATGTTAATGGAAATATCAGTTAAGGAAGCAAATGTCTGTTAATCTTGGTATTTCTAAATGTTGTTTGTGTTTTTTTAAAAAACAAACAAAAGACTTTATCTTATTGTACCACAGGATTGTACACGGTTCTGTTAATCTGCTTAAAATTCAGTCTTGGGTTACCTTCCCATATTTTGGCAAGCAGCCCTTTTCTGCCTGTAGTCTTTATTTGTCACACAGCTGTACTCAGGTGTGGTATGGAGGATTAAACAATGCATATGCTTCCCTGCTTAGCTCAGCATTACCTTTATATAAAATATATATTTAAAACTAGTGAATAGTAAAACTGCTTTCTCGGGGTGAGGGTCAGGGGAAATAAATAAAATTTCTACACTGGGATATAACTCTGTTCCTCCCCAACCTGGGACAGTCTCCAGTTCATAGATTGGAGATATAAACTCCGCAGTGGCTTTCCTGTGGGCTTTATGTTTTAGTTAAAATAATCATTGCTGTTCTTTTATTTTCCTTTGCCTTCTACTTAAAAAGACAATTAAATGCATGATTGTTAATGTGGCATTGAAATTGAGTTGTTAATCATATGAATGTCAGGAAAATCAAAGTTATGATTCCCAGAACAAATATAACAGGGTCCCTTTGGTCATGTGTGGTATTTCATGTTTCTGAAGTTTTATGCTTTAATATATAATGCACAATATTACAGAGTTATGGTTCCCACAGCAGCTATAACTTTGAATTTTCTAACTTTCATGCAATTAAAATTTTAAACTCTGTTGCTGGTTTATAGTTTGCTGAATTACCAGCCCTCATCCTGATAGTATATTTGAGGTTGTAAGAGACTTATTAAATATTTTGAAATTAAATTTTGTTCAAAATTCTGGAATTTGTATGCTTATATGTAGACATAGCAGAAACAATGTTTAGTGGAAAAAAAGGCTTTAGAGAAGTTTAACAGATGTGTTGCTTTTCTTTTTATGCTAGTTTTGGATGATGAAGACAGCAACAATATTACAGTAGGTTCTCTTGTCACTGTTCTGGTCACACTAACAAGACAGACCATGGCAGTAAGTACTAAGAATACTTGTTCTTTCAGGGTAATTGCAAGTGTATGCTAATAAACAGGCATTTTGTCTTTGCAAGCTAACAGTGTTTTGTAAATATAACTGTGAAATTAAGACTTGAAATTGAGAACTTCCTGATGTTGATCCTCCCTTATGTTTTTGTTTCTGAATGAGAAGGTTTTCCTGGAATCAAACCAAAGTTCAGTCTGACCCGTTGCAGTTGTCTAGGGAACAGTAAAAGAACATGGCAAGTGATACTGCCCTGAGGTTTGTAAATAACAGGAAAAGAGACATTCAGAAACTTAGTTCTTGGACTAGAATAACGTATTCACTCAAGACCTTAGGACAGTGTTTGATTTCACTTTTTGTGGGCTCATAATGTTACAAATCCCTTGGGTGTTATAGACACTTTTGTGAAAGAAACTCAATCCAGCAGAATGCAGAATATACATGGAAATATAAGTGCCACATGAAGAAAGAGGACTGCTGAATGGGTAGCAATGTGGCTTAACCAAAATACTACTATACCCTGGTAGTTAAACTTCTGATTTGTGCTTATTTTTTAGCTTAAAATGTAGTAAAATGACTTTCTTTGAACAAAAAACACAATGCACAAAAACTAAACAAAACAAACCTTTACCTAACAAATCCTACAGTGTCAATTTTCGCATCTGTACTATTCAGATAATTACCTTAAGTAAACAGAAAGTCTGAGTTATGCCTCTAAGGTAAGGCATACGAGCATGAGTATTACTGTTGAGGATCAGACTAGCCATTGAAGCCAGTTCAGCAGAAAGCAATCTGTATATATAAAGTGCCATGTGTTCATGCTATGGAATTTCAGAATGCATCACCTCAATGATAACTGAGGATGCAGTATGTAGAAAGTAAAAGCACCATATCACTATGCTGGATCTTAAAAACGAAAGAAACTGAAAATTGTGAGCATATTGAACTGTACTTAGAAATTAATTAAAATGTCTGACAGCATACAGAAAAATTATTTAAGATGTTTTCTGTGTCAGCTCCGCTAGGCAGTCTGGCACTGAGACACGACCTAAAAACTAGAGCTAGCCTTTTCTATGATGCTTTTTTGGGGTGATCTCTTGTATTTGCCATCTTTGTATGATGACAACTCCTTATGACTGAATGTTTTTATTTTTTTTAAATGGCATATAGTATGTTTTGAAGAAAGAAATGCATGAAAAAATTCCATTTGCATAGAGATGTTCTAGTCTACATAATACTAACATTGTGTTTTGTCTTAATGTTTCGTATTTCTGATTTGATTTTTTGTCCTGTGTCCCTGAGTAGCAGTGCAGCTGTTGAAGTTTTTAATGCTTTGGCAAGTGGAGCAGAATTTGCATTTTACTACTGCTTGCTTTTGTGATACAGGCTTTCTATGCTTTATAAAACAAGTAGGTTTTTGGAACAAGATGACATGTCACTAAATTTCTTTATAATGCTAGTGATGGAAAAATCCTAGACCAAATGTTCAAAATAGTGTTTAATTTTGATCTGTTAATCCTCTGTTGTGTTTGTCACTGATAAAAAGAATTTGCCATAGTGTGTAAAACCTTCAGACCTGATTAAGGTGATTCAGTCTAGAGTTCAAATATAAAAAATAATAATTTGCTCTTTTGGTACATCTTTTTCTAACCAGGAAGTATTTGAAAAGGAACAGTCTATATGTGCAGCGGAAGAGCAACCAGCAGAAGATGGGGTAAGCGAAGAATGAATGTTCCTCTTGCTAGCTAAAGAGAACTTTCTTTCAGAGACTGAGTTGCTAATTGTGTGCTGCTTTAGCATTTTTTTCCAGAAATGCCCAAGTGTCTCTTGAGCTATGCTTTCTAACTTTGGTTCTCAGCTTAGAATGCTGAAAGTACAGTGAATGCCTGAAATCTAATGAACAGAATAAATATGTGAAATACTGTTTTCCTACAGCAAGGAGATGTCAACAAAGTTAAGAGCAAAGGATGGCAACAAAAGAATAAAGGAACCAAGAAAGCTTCAAAATCAAAGAAGAAGAAGCCGTTGAAAAAGAAACCTGTGCCACCTTCATTGCAGCCACCGAAACAGCAGAAGCAAAAACAAGCTAATGGGGTAGCTCATAGATTCATTGATATTTTAGTATTTTGTTCAATTCATCACTCCTAGTCTGATTGTTCTTTTGTATCTGTCTGTTAGTTTCATTCTGTGCTTTTGTAATGCGTATCTCCTAAAACAGCATTTTTTTTTTACATTTAAAAATTACTGGTAAAATAATCAGGGAACCACCACAGTCATGTTTCCAATGGCCTGCTGAAAGTTGTGCCTAACTACTTTAGAAGTCTGGCTTCATAGTCCCTTCTTATTGGTTCTTGCTGTGTTCTGGGAGGTGAATTGTTCTGTACCTTCTACTTTTCCTTTTAAAGGAGAAAAATGAAGTGATACTGCCTTCTGTTAAATTAAGTAGCTTTAGTACTTTTATGCTTCCACTGCTTGGTGCTTTCTCCACCTCATAGGCTATGTTGTAGGAACTTTCTTATATTCTCTCTGATTTTCTTACGACTTTTTGAAATGCGATCCCAAAATCAAATACTGTTTTCTCCTATTTGTGTTGTGAGTGCCATATGGAGAGGGTAAATGGCTTCCCTGTTCCTCTTAGCACATGAGGTGAAAAGGATTAATCTTCACTGTAGACATGCTCCGTGACACAAGAAGAGTGTAGATCAAAATAGGAAATAAGGGCTATGACCTTAAGACAGATGCTGTGAATGCTGTGTACTACAATAATGCAGACAAACTAAGTTAGAGGTTTTTGTTTGTTGTTTTTTTCTTTCCCATTAGGAAGTAGTTGCGAAGGAAGAAGAGGAGGAGATCTCTGATAAAGGAAGTGAATCTGAAGAAGAAGAAACAAACAGGGACTCTCAAAGTGAAAAAGATGATGGAAGTGACAGAGACTCTGAAAGAGAACAAGATGAGAAGCAAAACAAAGATGATGAAGCTGTAAGCCTTACTTTTTCTTGAAGGGTAATGTTGCCTCTGAGGTTGAGGCAAAATGGGTTTTAATCCTCTAACATCCCCTCAGGCTAGGCAACAGTAGGATGAAGGAGTAATACCAGTTCTCCAGAGGTTTTGAGACCTCATTCTGGCATAAGAACTTTGTCATTGCCAGTCTTTTTCAGAAAGAGCAGTGAAGGGCCTTTGCAGCATAGACAGAAAACTTAAAAATGACATGAGAAAAATAGCTTAACTTCAGAGAGAGATTGTAATGTTTCTTTCAGCTTGACTTGGTTACTAGCTGCTGCAGATTTTGTGAGATAAAGTCTCTCCTTTGAACTTTGTTTTTTACATGCAGTGGCTGTTGCATACTGCATAATGCATAGTGTAAGCACACAGTAGTTGAACGAACTTGTACATGTGCTTACTAAACTCTATTAACTGCTAATAATTAAGTTAGACGTTCGAAACTGTAGTTGTAATTAAGAACGAGGCATTGTGGTGGTAGATGAGTTCTGCACCACAGGTCTTACAGTGGAAGACTTAAGAGTGACAGCTGGAAGTGCCATACAAGATGAGAATAAGCTTCTGATGGGAAAAGAATCATCAAGATTGTAAAAAGGACTCTTACAGCTCAGCCAGTGAGTGTTTATAGGCAGTGCTGTAGAAGTGAGTTTTGAAGAATGTGTGCAAGCCAGGCAGATTTGTGTTTTGGGTTTTTTGGTGTTTTTTTTTTTAATATTTATGTGAGTGGTCTCTTAAGTTTTACTGTTGCTTGATTTTTTTTTTTTTTTCTTTTAATCATACTGTATAACTTGATCTTTACATGCCTCTCCCTTTTATAATGTGTAGTGTAGCACAAGAACTTGTTGTATGTATTATTTCCATGGGGTAGTATGTCTATCTCTTTTTTTTTTTTTAAATACCAAAGATGCCTAATGCACAGTAACTCTTTGAACTTGTCTTTGACAGGAGTGGCAAGAACTACAGCAAAGTATACAGAGGAAGGAACGAGCGCTTCTTGAAACGAAGTCAAAGATAACGCATCCCGTTTACAGTCTTTTTTTTCCTGAGGTCAGTGATAGAAAACATTGTAGCTGTGAAACATGAGAGTTAATATAGTAGAAATTAATTGCTATTTTTATATTTTTACTGTAAATACTGGGCTTTTCAAGTATTAGACTTTTTTGAAAAATTGCTAATCTTCATTTAAAAAAAGTCTTTTAATTCATAAAACCCTCTCAAACTTTCAGATGTTTTTCTAAAACTTTTAATGTATTACTCTTTCTGTCCAGTTCCCAGAGACTTGCAAACTTGTATAGAATTTAAGGTTCCTTTTTGATGGCAATAATGCTAAAGTTTTGGTTTTTTTTT